AACCTCTACCGCACGCGCAATGACTGCTACCAAAGGCTCTGGTGCATGTTCGAGGTAGCGGCATTTCTGAAAAGTCACGGGGACAGCGCTTCTGCAATGTTGGTGCGGCCTACATATTTGGGACCATGTGCATTTTCTCTCGCCTGGGGCATGTCACTAACTATTGGCATCTTTTTCTTCATGATGCTCGAGTAGATGTGAGCAGGTTTTAATTCTTTGAATTCCCAAAGTCCTATATAATCATCGTTTACTCTTAGGTCTAAGACCTTTCGTACTTTCTGGGGCCTCTAATTGTGGGCAAGGACATGGGACGATCTTGTTTTGGCTGCGCTGATCCTCACTGGCTGGGCATTGTTCGGTTTCGCTGCAGCAATAGCTGCATTCCGTCATTACTTCATTACTTTGCGTCCGTTCAAGCCACCCAACGGCAGATGCAGAGTTTCAAGATCGACAGCTCCACATGTTTCTGCTGTGAGGTAGATCACAAAGGCCCTGGCGAAAAGAAGCTGATCTGCGATCGGGAAATTGTAAGTGAGTGCATCCGACTCTGGTTCGGGAGTTGTGAAGATTTCGAGGCACTCGTGCAGTCTTCAATATCCAATGCGCTGGCATCCCAGCTTGGAAGGCAGGCGTTTCCCTTCCATTGGCTTGTGGGCTGTACATCTCCAATCTTGTGGGGGGAGATGGATTTGTTTGCCGCAGATAAGCTGGCAAATCAGAATCCTCGGCGCATTTTTTCCACGATCCACATTGTAGGTTGGTGGCTGGGAGGCTTTCCAATCCTGCTTTGGTGGGCGATGTTTCTCTCACGAAGATGTTGCCAACCAGTTTCATCCAGATGCTTGGATGCTTTGCAGACGCTGGCAGTGGCACTCCTTGTGTGTCCTGCGTACTTCGCCCTCTATGCTTACCAGATCATTTTGCAACAAGCTTGGCCTAGCCACATACCTGGCGCTGCGATCTTTGCAGGAACTGCGTCGTTCGCGGCTCCCTTACTGTGGTATTTGCAACCCTTCTAGAAGCAATCCTAGATTGCGCTCGTACTTTCGGCACTTGTCATGCTACTGTTATTGATGTCTGGTTGTGTTGGTATCATTCACGCTGTTGCTGTCGTCGTAGACAGTCACGAGTTCAATCTCCGCTTCTTATGTCTCACAGCAACTGGCGTAGCCAGGAAGGCAGGTTGAATTTGCGCTGCTTTGGTGACAAAATCTCAGCAGGGTCTCAAAGATGCCTTTTTCAGAGTGTTAGCAAGGATGCTAAAAGCTTTGGGTGGTCTAGATGCGTTTGGAAGTCCGAGGACCAGCTCATTGCCGACAGTCCCTGGGACCCAGTGATGTAAAGCTCAGCTCCCCAAGAACCCCTTCATTGCCGCTGTAGTGACCTTGCTTTATGTTGAAATCTGTTGACCAGAGGCTTAGCTGAACATGGCAGAATCAAGGTTGACTTACAATGATACTTGTCGTAACTTCCATAGTCGTGGAAATAGAGGTCGTGCCCGTGACGCTGTGCAGGTAGGAGTATGCTCAGAGTCCTTACGTGTGCAAATGCTATGAAGACAGCTCCACTTGTTTGGGAGACGTTTAGAGTCTAGAGGACCTTGAATTTGAGGAGGCCCATCTAGAAGACGGAGTACGCAGTGCACTATTGGTATTTGAGGCTTTCCTGTTCTCAGCTTCTCTATTATATAACCCTCCCAGAATGCATCTCCTTGCAAGAAGGAACTCGTGAGGTTGAGAGGCGCTAACCTTCGGCACGTTCCTGAATACAGTTTCTCCTTCTGCAGACAGATATTTTGCCAGTAGCACATCCCAAATCAGGCCCCGTGCTCTACGGCCTACAGGGCCTACACAGTTCCCACAAGCTTCTTGCGAAGGAGAGGCACAGTGCCGGTCGCTTGAAAAGACGATGGGTCTTAGCTGCGGCCATTGTCACCTTTTGCAGCTTTGCAGCAAGGTTTAGGGTTTGACTTGTTTTTCCGGTGTGCCGGCAGGGATTCGGGTTGAAAGTTGAGGTATGGCCCTTGCCACGTCGGAACGGTGCAGAAGCTACCGCTTGCTTGTAGTTACCACAGGTAGCTGGTCTTGAAGCGGTTATGCCGTCTCCTGCTTCAAACCTCTCTCGCACATGATTTCAGTCAGTATTCGGGTATTTGCCTGTTGATGGTTACAAGCAGCAATTTCAACAGCTATGATTTCAGAAGAGGGTCATCGTGTTCTTCTCAGCGTGTCAGAATTCTATTGGGTGCTTCTGTCATTTGAGATTCATGGTCGGGTATGGGCGGGGCTGTGAACGGGGCTGCAAATTCAAGTTTTGTATGAACTTATCCCATTCTGCATATTCATAATGATCATAGCTTACATGTTTATCACTACAGTTGCTTACCCATGAACCTCCAACCAAAATCCTGAGATTCCAAAACTGAGGCTACTGTCGCTATGCGTTGCCGGCATTGGCCAGTTGGGGATCCAGCCATTGGGAGAGGCAGCATATCTTGTTTTGTGTTTGAGCGTTTGGGCATAGCCTCCCCAAAACGAATGAGGGCTTGCTGTCAACAGACATTGGCATTTGCAGGGTCCCTTTCGCATTGCCTGTCTGTCTGGGGCAGGGTATGGTTTAGATTTGGGATCAGCGTTGGTGGGAGTGCAGCAAGCTGGCTGAATGCCTTGAACGCTCCCCACCTGCAGGGACATGATAGAATGCTTCAAGCTAAAACGGATGCAGGGGAGACGTAGCGATTCTTCTAAATGTAGGTGCAGAACCGTGATGCGCCAACCGGGCACGCGGAACTTACTTGCACTTGCAGGGTTTCGAGCTAGTCACCGAATGATGTGCTTCAAGCAGGCTGATTTCATGTCCTCAATAGCACGGTCCAATTTTCAGTACGTAAGATGGGCAATCTTCACAATGGCGTGCAAATGGTAAGGTTGGGTTAGTTATGCTCAGGAATCAGCTTTCTGCAGCATCTGTCGGCAAATAGTTCACTATAAGGTCACCTCTGAATATTGGATGGGGCATAATGGGACCACAACCTCTTGGCAAGGAGTGTGGATGCAAGTGAGTTTGAGCAGACCGTCGGCGGGCACAACTCGCACGTCAACTTTGCAGTGCTGGTTGTAGTCTCCCTGGGCCGCCTCCTAAGTGAAGGGTCCGTGGGCGGGCAGGAGCATGACACTGGAATTCCACAGCAAGGGTACATTTTTATTTCCCAACGGAACCTATTAGAAACTCCATTTGTTGAGACTATCAACTCCTCATATGCCATGTCCTCAGGGTCCAAGTACCCAAATGATGGGTTTCACGGACCTTCCCAAAACCATGCTTGGAGCCTTAGAGATACGCTATTTACTCAAGTAGTAGTCCTCCTCCGCCAAGGTTACCTCTCAATGCTTCATTGCTCCTCTCGGCTCATGGAGGTCCAAGGATGAATTGTAGTCTTCAAAAAGTTATATCAGGAAGGGCTATATCTACGGCATTCTTTGGGAGGTCTAGGCAGTTACACAGGGGATTGTGTAGGAATGACGACCAGGATAGCTAATGGATTCAGTTTTTGTTTCGGGAAGTTCCTGGTGTATCCGTTTCTGCCGGAGTGCCGGTGGCTACAGTACCTGACACATGACTGGATCCCCCGGAAGGCACGCTTGCCAATCAAGAGCACAATCTTCGAGATATTGGTTGTGTACAACATGACGCAGATGCTTCTTAACACGTCCCTGGGATGCAAGCAGCTTCCTCCGTGTTTGCTGCTATCCAAACTGTGCAATCTGCCCAGCACCTGGGATTTTGGATGTCTTTAGGGGCGCCTGGAGTTATGCATAAAAAGCTGTAGCATCTGACTTTCGCAGCAAGTGGCTGCTGAGGTATGTGTGTGCTCGTGTGTTGAGAGAAGCCTGGCTGCCTCTTGGTGATGTCCAATTATGTTCTCAACACATGGGTCCCCCAAAACCTCAACCCTGAGCCCTAAATCAGTAGGGAGGCAAGGAGGCAACAAGGGACAGCTGATGCTGATAAGTGCCCACGTGGCAAAACCACTATCCCAAAGCCACGGAGCCGTGATGCTTGCAAATCCATGCTGTGCACTCGAACTGCAGCTTCAGGAGTGGTCGTTGAGGTATCAAGAAGGAAGGCAGATAGATCCCGACCTAGACAAGTGGATTGTCTTTTGACGTGGGGTCTCTGTTCCCCAGGGCATTTATGTGTATGTGTGCAAAAGGGGATGCTTTTTTCTAGGCGCTTGGTTCAGGGTATCTAGGGAACAGACAAAGACCAAGACCTCCGTAACACCCCTCGGCCAAGGTCACTTTTGGGCTTCCTCGCAGAGGTGCTTGTCATTCTACACAACATACTTAAATCCTCAAGATCACTCCGGGTAGAGGGCACTTTTAGGAGTGCTTGACACCAGACTCTGGCGGTTGAGATTCCATGCTCATGCTGTAGGAGCGGAGTTTATATTTCGTAGCATTCTTGTCCCTTTCTTTCGTGTGGCTTGTGAGTTTTGAGCACTACAACGACATGGAGCTGCACCAAACCACAGCAGACAGCCTGTTCGACCTAGATTACAAGACGGGACACCTACCAGCCAACATGAGAACGGCATAGGTTGTAGGATCCTCGTCGTACCCCTCTATGAATTATGTTCTCTGAAGCCTTTCAGCAGTTCTAAGGCAAGGCTTCAGCTACCCATGGGGCAACCAGTTCGTGTACACGAAGGCCACGGTGCCAAGTTTGCTTGGGACCTGCCCAGCGAGAATTTTGGCAGTTATCGCATGGGGCCTTGCTTCCGTACCCAGGAAACCCTGTTGCTTGAAGATGCGAAATGACATGGGCACATGAGCTCACATGTTGTCTTCCAGTATTCTGACCGAAGCTCCAGGAGTCAATGAGGCCCGGACAGCAGGCAAGCTTTAAAGTCGGCAGGCTTCAAAAGTTCACTTACAAAATTGCTAACTCTTGCGAAATTCAGCAGCGAAGTGCCAATCTTATTACCAGCAAGACTCGAAAGCGCTAGCCAGAGCCTTTAGCAAGCACCATGGTGTGTTGTCAGCACTAGTGACACAAAGAAGAGGCGGTGCTGAAAGGAGCTCCCAGGTACAGGAATGCCATTGCCCTGCACATTTCACATGACATGTTTCCTCAACACTTGCAGTGACGATGGTAAAGCGAGTTGGCCTTTAAACCCCGGAAGGAAGGGCATCGACTTGGCTATTTCATTTGGTTTCACTACCACCTCTGCCAGCTCGAACTGCTGGATACGTGCCTCTGCGGAAGTGCTGGGCCAGTCTTTCTTTGGAGGTGCGATTTTTTGGCGGACGGCGTGGAAATCGTCTTGGCTGGCGAGTTCATTGAAGTATGCAAGGGGTATCAAGGGGTAACATGTATACCTTACATGCAACTGGCACCACTACCGGCCCAAAGTAAGCCCCCTCTCCTACCAAGTATTCCCGATTATTTCCTGCTTGTTTGACATTCATTCATGCTTGTGTAGCTGAGGGTGTTCGTCGTCATCCGCAAGCACCTTGGCTTGAGACATGAATAGCAATGGGAGTGCGTCAAGCAAATTGCCGGAAATTGCCTGTAGCTTTTTTCGACTGTTACAGCACTGGCCTGCAGGAAATTCCAGAAGATCACATTCCTCCATGTTTGGTGCGGAGCTCAGAGAGGGGGGCGCCAGGAGCTTGTCAAGGTGTGCATGATGTTTCATCACAGTGCGGTACAGGTGCAATGCAGCTGTCTCAGGCTTAGATTGCTGAACATGTGGGGCTGGTTCTTCGCCTGCCGCTACGCCTGCGGGGGCGAGACTTGTAAGCATCAGGACTTATCGAGTTTCTCAAGAGGATGCGGCAAGCAGGCAGGGCAGATAGTCACAGGCAGGTTACAGGAACACCAGGCCATCTAAGCAAAATGTGCTAATATTTTGTAGTTTTCCAATTTCAGTGGTTTTATGTTGCGCGCACGTGAGTGCAAGCTCCTGGGCCATCTCGGTGCTTGCCGTCATCCTCTCCTGAACTACATGGTGATTAAGTTTCCATGTAGCAGAGTGTATCAGAGTCGCTAGGAACAAGGCTCCGAAGGCAGAATTTCAAAGCATGTACTTCAACTCTTGCCTCTATGCTAGACGGTCATCGATTACGGGAGTAGGACTCCCTTCTTCGCATTTTGCACGGTGGGTCCCTGAGAAATCTCACATATTGGGCCACTCAAGATATACAAGCAAGGACACCTACTTCCCGGCAGCGGTGAATGCTGCGACACGGGCTGCTGCTCGACCAACAGAGAATAGACAAAGTGAGTTTGAATAGTTGCCGTTTACAGCTTGTTTTGTCAGCCTCTTTGAAATCAGAGCCTGTGTGCCAGCTATCGAATTGCAGATCTTGTTTTAGTTACGTCTTCAACTGTTCCTTTGCAGCCTCACCCTACCCGACACTAGATATTGTATGACGGAATGAGGAAGTTGATCCATAACATCATCCCTATATATTTGCGAATGACCATGGGACCTATTCACCTTCTTCTCGCTAATGCACCATGGAGTCCTGCTCCTAACCCCCGAATTTTCTCCACGTGATGCCCCGTTCTTCGTGCAGCAAACACAATCGGATTGTAGCATTTTGTGCATCCCACTGGCTAAGTTTTCAGCCCTCAAGCATGTTCTTTGTCAGTTCCCTTAGTGCATCATGCAACTTAACGTTAAGTGGCAGTTTCCAACAGGCAGGGGGCTCAAATATGTGCACGACAATCCGGAGATTATTTGCCAGGATTCCCTGCGTTCAGTCCAGGTGGTCTACGCTTTCTATAGCCTCTCGCTGCTGTCCGAGCGCGGAGTGCCGCTCGTGCGCAAAGCGCACGTGACCGAGCTCCAGATGTTCCAGCTGCTCGCATGAAGATGAGCAGTCCCATGGGCAGGGTATTGTTGGGAGCACGAGCTGATAAGATGATATCAGATGTCATACAGGCTGTATGAATTATACAGTAAATTTTAAGGTCCATTGTAGCCACATTTCAAACTTCATTAGTATTTGGTTGATGGCTCAGCGTGCAGCTCCTCTACCCTTCTATCTGACAACGTCGGGAACAGATGGCATCATGGCAGTTAGCAGTAGATTTTCAAGATTTTCAAGCTTGGTTAAAACACTGATAAAAAAAATCGTGATGCGCTCAAGTAAGGCGTCCTAGTACTTCCCGCCCCATGAGACTCAGACACCCTCCACCTAGCAGTGTCGAAGCATCACTCTTATATGTGGCTCTGGCTAGGGAATCTTTGATGCAGGGGGATGTAGGCGGACAAAATATTAGGCCATGGCCGCTTAGCCAGGCAAACCCTTCAGCATAGGAAAGATCGGCCTCTGCGAGGGTTCAAGGTTTCGGGTTGTTGGAACTGTATATTAGCTTTGCGGTGTTTAGAATTGTCAGAACTTGCAGTCTCAGTTTTGCAGTGCAATTTCTCTGGCACATAGTCTGCTGAACAGGTTTCATGCCAACCAGGGTTGGCGTGTGCAAGCCCAAGATCTTCCCAAAGACCCATTGGAGCTTGAAGATCATCATATCATATCATCAGCAGCGCATGGAACTGCTGGCTTTGCACAGAGCGGTTCTTAGCAACGTCATCCCGCTGTGGGCAGGTTCGCGATTTGCGCTTTCCACGCACTGCCAGGGCCTCAAATTCCTATGACGGTTTGGAAGTATCCTTCACAATGCATCGACAGCCTGAGAGTTTTGATCAGACAGCTGAGCTCTGGAGCTTAAACTGCTGAGCATCCTGGGGTCTTCAACTTGAAAGCTGTGGCTCTGTCGTGTGTTGATCCTTGAGAGTGAGCAGCAGTGGAGCGATGGCAAGCCGAGGTTTTGCATGTACAGGTTTTGGGATATGCAGATTTCCAGAGCTGTGTTGCTGCTCTACTTCCTGGTCATGACCAGTGGCCTCATGCTCTACACCGACTTCCATTACCAAGCGGAGGGCACCATGGCAGGTCAATGCTTTCAGCAACACCTGAGCCCTATAGTATGTTGCAAGTCGCCTTTTTCCAGGACGCTACCGAGGCTGGGGCAATCAGGCTCTCTACATGCCACCAGCGCCTAGCAGCGTTTTCTTGGGGGTTTCTTACAGTTAATTTTTGCTTCTTGGCGATTCTAAGAATTGCAAAGATGCGTGAGAGTGTTGTGCAAGCAAGGGGCCCTGCTGTTATTTCGGCCCCTCTCCAAAGCAGCGACCATCAAGACCCAAAGCTGTGTGCCAAGGCAAATCTGTGAGGAAGCTTGAGTCGCAGAGGAAGGCAAGGATGACGTCCCTACTGGTAGTTAAGTAGGGAAGGGAGGGATTAAAAGAACATGGAGGCTTCTGCACTAGGCTTTACTTGCAGTCTATGTGCAGCAGCCCCCATATACTCTCATGTAACAGTCCCTACAGGCCTCCCTTTTGTTCCCTACTAATCAGCAGGAAGTTGCTTTCCATATAGAAGACTTGATCGAAGACTAATTCCTCCCGTCAGCATTAAGCACAGGCCCCCTACTATGAAAAATGTCCTCGAAATCAATCTTATGGGCTAGCGTAAACTGAATACCGGGGTTTGGAGAAGTGTTTCGTCTTCGGGGGATCGGACCCGTGCAAAATCAGCCTCCGGAGTTGGCAAGCACTTGTGGCATTTACATACATCCTTCCGCGTTTGTGTTGACATATTCCTTGATTTGTGAGGGAGTATGTGAAACCAATTAACTTGATTCCAGAAATCTAGGCCCCTTTGCAGTGTTCAGGACAATCAACATCTTCTCAGTTACCCCCCTCCCCAATTAGATGCCTTGTTCATGTAGATCACTGTCCGAAACAAGGGGTCCGCGCCTTGGAGCCTAAGATGATCTGCCCTGCAGTCTGACTTGTTGCACAGGAAAGTGGCGAGGGGTTCTCATGATACCCTACCTTGCAAAGTGTTGAAAGCCCCTGAGTTCTGCTGGACATGTGACAGCAGATATAAATGGAGCTCCAGGCAGACCTTTCAAGGCTTCAATTTCAACAAACAGCCAAAATGTGCAGATCAGCATTGCCTTCGACTCCAGCGGGTGGCTGCACCTTGGAGTGGCAGGCAAACGCACTGAAAGGAAAGCCCATGTCTCATTTGCTAAACCGTAGCTGAGACTTGCTCGTGTTGTTACAGGATTCATGTTCATTTGAGTTTTAAAAGACTTTCAAAGACTTGACTGTTTAGGGATTAGAATTAGGATATGCTTTCTTGGCAAGGGATGGTTCTGAAATAGTGCTGCAGTTATGTAAGTTTCTTGGCATGGTGCGGAAGTTCGCCTTGCAAGCTGTAGCCATCGCTTGATTTATGGTTTGTACTATAAAGCTAGGATTGACGGAATAAATCGAGGTTTTGCAAGATATCCATCAAGCATATGAGACCCCGACCATACTACCAGCAGCCTTTGCGTAGAAAGAGCGCGCTCAAACCCCCAGCAGACGCCACGTTCACAATTCCGCCCATGTGCCGAAGAGGGCCTCAGGCGCTTATCTCTAGATCTGCCAAACAGGCAGCCATGTGTGAAGAGATCGGACGAAGACTTAGCCACAATCCAAGGATCCTACATTGTCGGCCCTAAAGGGGGATTCCATAGACAGAGGGGATCCTTGTGTTGATTTGGTGTCGCGTGCAAAGGTATTGCTACCATTTCGGCGTGGCAGCTTGGCTACGTGCCCTGAGCAGCATTGCAAGTCGTAATGCCGCACTTAAGGAAGTGTAGAGTGTAGGTTGCTGAAATGCAATATAACAAGCGTTTCTAGGAGCCAAGAGCGAAAGCCCATGGCATAGATCTGGTCCAGGCTAAACCCATCCGTTTTTCAAAACAGTCGCTACATGCTCTTTAAGTGGACCCCTTCGTGTACTTCCTGATGATTTCATACATCCCAAGGGCCCTCTTTTGAGAATCTCCGTTTAATAGATTGCTTTTGGAAACGCATTGTCGTTTCCAGGAACAGTAGAGTCCCACATGAATCAAACACGCAGCCACATCAGAACCTCATACAGCAAGATCCTTGTGGTTTGCTTTGTCTTGGTGATCTTACGTACCTTGCATCCAGCATACATACCCCAACTTTTCTACGACCGAGGTGAGCATCTGATGCCGGAGGATCTGAAGCCTGAGGCGCCAACGCTTGAAGGTTTTAGTTCAGGTTTTGGGAGGTAGGGCTGCAGGCTTTAGGGTTTGTAGGGGTTAGGAAAGTGTTAGAAAGGGAGTATGGGGAAAACATAAGGACTAGATACTTCCTTGCAACGTAAGCTGAGGCTATGACTGATTTTTTTCACTGATTACCCCACGCTGAACCTCCAAGTACTGACACGAGTGGGTATCAAAGCCAAAGGCTTTCGGTTTCGGTTTAGCTGAAGCCACTGGAGCATCCCAATTCAGGATGCGGACACGGAGAAATTCCCGAACCACCTGGCCTTCAGCGGATCGTCTGGTGGCTTTTGTCCTTGTTCATCAAGTGTTCCAGTTGCCAGTGCACATCGGTGTAGATGTCACAGAGCAGGATCCGGCGTCATGTCCTGCCGTGGAGCGACACATGCCCATCATCCCTGGACTAAATGTGCGCAATCCCAAAGACTACAGAATACCAAAGATTGTAACTGCGCCAAGACCGCTTTGCTCAAAACCCCATAAGCCAACATATGGAGGCTTCTGAAGCTTGTGAGTATCTGTTAGTGGATGCTTCTGTTTGCATCAAGTAAATAATCCAGTATCCCAAGATCTTCGAGCTCTATTGACCCTGCGCATGCCAATATGATCCCCGTATCCCTATTTAACAGACAGAGTTTTTCAGCTTGCATAGGGGTGGCGCTAGGGGTTGTTTTTTCTGACGGCGTTTAGGTCCTGCAGCGTCCCCCCAAATGGGGGGCTGCTCCCCGTTTTGGAGGTGTTTTTCCCTCGTACTGGGATTTTCCTCCTTACAGCCTTTAGTGAGTGGGGCAATCTCATAAATGTTTACCCTCAACGTAGAGCCTAATCTCTTCTCTACCAGTCGTTGCCTTGCCATCAGATACAGGGGCTTGTAATCATGAGAAATGCTCACATAGCATCGGACGTTGCGTACATGGGGGTTTAGGGGAGTTCGGTGTGGATGCCTGTATGGCTAAGACGCCACCAACACTGTGTCCTCAACAGGTGGTGCCCTGGTCGCCACTGTCCTCTCCTCGGGTCTGCAGCCCAAGGATGTCTTTGAGGTGGTTCTCACGACGCTGGGTTCACCTAATTCAGAGTGTGGGGATGAGGGAGGAGGGTGTTGTAGGGATGAGGGCTTATGCTTTACGAGGTGGGGTCTTTAAACGACTGTCTGGGGTAGTGCCTCTAGCGTTCTTGCGGTTTTGGGTGAGTGTGGATGACGTTTGCCCCTCTAGGGGCGCATAAGCCCTTCGAATTAGGCATACAGCTTAAAGCATAGGATGATTAGGTGGGCCCGCTGAACCCGAAAGATGTTGATATTTTGTATGTGTTATAGCTATGGGGTTGAGGTTATGGGTGCTGTCGTCTGAGGAAACAGCCGGAGTGCGCCTACAATCCCTTCCGGATGCTTCCAGCAGCGGAAGACGTGCTCAGGAAGATGCTGCCTGACAACGCCTTCCGACACCTGGACTGCAGGAGTCAGGCTACTGAAGAACGCAGGAAATTGTAAGAATTCCACGGGCCAAAAATGCGGGCGTTGTTGAAAAGGGACCCATTGCGAGCTGCTAAACGTCTGGATTTCAATTGCAAAGACAGACCGCAACTCTTTGCACCAACTTGTCGTAAATTATTTGCATGGAGAGCATCATGACCTTGGATGACCTTCCCTAGATGACGAAAACTGATCCGGGAGCATAGTCGTGCGCAGCCAAGGAAGCCTTTCCGGCCGCATCCGGATACTGCTGACAAGAGTCTCAATGAAGTTTCCCTTCTTGAGCGCAGAGGTGGGCCGCATGAAATGAGCAGCCTCAGAAAGCACAAAAGAACTTCCAAGCACTTGCAGAGACAACTTCTGGAGATCTTGGGACACGACAGTGCTGGGCAGCTTTCTCTTTTTCACAAGAGTTGTTTGCTTATGTAGCCTCCGGACTAAGCAAGGTTGTGACCATAAGAAGCTCGAAACAGGGATAGGCATTAGCTGTTTCCAACCCCTCCACAGCGGGAACGTCAGTTCTAGTTTCAATCATCACAAGTTACGATCTGAATTAATATGAGTACGGCATTTTGAGGATAATTGCCAAGATGACTAATTATTCACGCTTTTATCCTCTGATTGCTGATACTCATCTTGTTGGTGCTCTTGCGCTCGCTGGACTGCTGCTTTTTTTAGCTGTGTTCCCCTGCCGCTGCCGCCATCACTGCCACAATCATCATCACCACCATCACCACCAGACTGTGGCGGCGGTGGTGGTAGTGGCATCGGCGGCCACCAGAGCCACCACGACGACGAAGAAATCATGCTGCAGTGGTATCAGCAGTAGTGGTAGTAGCAGAAGAAGTAGCAGTAGAGGCAGCAGCCACCCCGAGGTGGTGAACAGCTTCCAGAACCAGGAGGACGTATTCCACGCGCTGCGCTCCTCTTGCCATGTTCCGCTCTTGGGCTTGGATTGGGGGGAATGTACCACGTGAACCCAATTCTCAGTCAGGAACTTAACTTAGGGGTTCACCGGTTGGGGAGTCGGAGAGTGATTAGATCCTAGTATGATTCCTTCAATGCCGCTCACACAGGTGTTAAACATTGTTGTCCACCCTAACACCTCGATTCTACTTGTTGAGCCAAAATATATCTCATTGTAGTGGTTTCTGACTTGCACTCAACAATTATGCTCAGGCAGCGTCTTATAGAGCTCGCATTGGAATCATGTCTTTGGTTAATTAGATAGACTTTCTTAAGCTTGTGCTTCGGTTTGGGGGGAGCCACTTCACGGTGATGGGTAGCGTCCGATAGGCGGCCCAGTACCGACTTCTTTCCGACTTTGTCTCATGCATTGTCTCTGACTGCGCAATCTGGTTCAAACGTGCTAAGGGGGAGAGGTTCTCTACCCATAGACTTGCAGCAGCATTCAATCGGAGACTCAGGATCATCGGCGGCCTGGGTCCTTACCGATATGATGGCCATGCCTACTTTGATGGAATGTTCTGGCCGCAGATGCTTGTTCCATGGAAAGGCCGGGCTGTGATGCCCATTCGGATGCAGAGCTTGAATTCTTCTGTCACCTTCCCTTTCGGTTTGAGGTCCCCCAAATATTGACACACCAAAAATTGATACGGAGCATCAATTCCTCGCTTTTGTTTAGGGCATCGATGCATTAGTTCAGCCAGCCCTGATCAGGGGAAATATCAAACCTTCTCCATGCGCGTCTGATGCTACGTGTGTGCCAAAATTGGCCAACAATCCTCTTCCAACTACGCTGAACATAAGGTACCCAGGAAAGGGACAGTGGATAAGCCTTTGACTAGTAGCTATCGTCGACATACAGGTCTGCATGTTTGAGGATTCGCTGGTCCTAAAGGCTGCTAGTTGGAATTGCACAAGTGTGCCGTGTGATGCCTACCTAGGTCTCTTCTGATGTTTGCAGTCTGGTCACATGCACGAGTCATGAGTCACGTGCTACAATCAGGCAATGAAGCAGACTACGTGGTGCGTGTTGCTGCTCTACTGCGTAACCCCTCCTCTGACATCAGCGCGCCTTTCATCCCGGCCTGGTGGCATCACGCCTGCATTCGAACGAGTTTTTCTCTGGGTAGTGGGAAGTAAGCGCTTTTCTGCGCCTTTTGTGTATTGAATCTGCAAAAGTGAGGAGCTTCTGGATGGTCCCATGGCCCGCTTGCATCAGCCTACCCTGAACCCCAATCGCTGAACCTTCTGAAGAAACATGCCGAATCGTATTTGCTATGAAGATTCTGCGAGTTCAGTCTGTAATTGTATGTGCACAGGCAAAAAAAGTTATGATTAAATCGAGAGAGCCAACCCTCAAACGTCTACCCTCCTGAATCCCAAGCCCCAAGCCCAAACTCTCCAAATGTATACGTCCTTGTTATACTCATAATAAGGGACCCGCAATTTCAAGAACACTTGCCCGAACCGTACATACAAAGCCCGCAAAGATGGCCATGGTGTTGGGAGAGCTCCCAAGGTCCATCTTTCCACCCAAAGAGCCGATCCTCCGAGGGGTGTACTGGAGAGGACTGCATGCAGGGTGTGACATGGCGTTCTAAGGGAATTCAAGGGGAATGTGCTTTGAAACACCGGGGGTTGGTGGGACTATCTGGGACAGCTTAGGGGATTCCCAAAATTGTAGATGTCTTTTGGCGCGCCCTCTGCTGAAAGCCTAGCCCAGTCTCAGCAAGAACTCGGCAGCTTTTCCATTCTGCTTGGGGCTTCTTTGCATGCTGCTGCCCTGAAAGGAGGCCATTTGCTTGCCGTGTAAATTCCTTCTTGGATCCCTGCTCAGCCCTACATGCTCCCTGCAGAAGCCCTTTCTCAAACAACCCCTCTTATCAACGAATAAACCCGCACAGTAAGCGGTTTTGGCCAAATCCCAAAAATCATATGGTTCAGGGGTTGGTCTTTGATAGATGCAGGAAATCTTGAAGCTCTTGGGAGCTTCTAACACATTGCTCTTCTTGGAGTGTAGGACATGCTGCAAGCATCTCTGCGTTATCATTATGTACGGTTCCTGGATTTTTGATTGGACACAAAGCTGTTGAGGACGATTGATGCCGCAGTTAAGTCCTGCGCTTAGTTAACACACAAGCCAAACAGCAAAAGCCCCACTCCCCACCATGTTCACGTTGTTTCGGTCTTAATAGTATGTTGGCGACAACCCCTGGCATTTTGCAAAAATCTGGAAGCCCCAACCGAGCTTGCCCCCTCGGGGCTTGTCAACATAGGCTTGTGCCAAATGATGTTTTAGGGGGTATACCCAAACATGGGGCTTATGAAATCCAGGAAGGCTAGACCTCGCAAAACTTCTATACTTCTGCCTTCGCGGCCTTTACCTCACCCAGTTTGGGTACTAATTGAGAATCAAAGGGTCATGTAGCCAGCCCCTTCTTGGGAAACTGACCCTGCACCCTATGCTGAGCCTAAGCAGAAAGTTAAGGTTTAAAATCTCATCCTGGGCAGGGTACCAAGATGCTGCGCGCTGGTTTAGCAGAAGTCCAGAGAGTTCCGCCTGTTGGTCGTGCAGGGCTTCAGCTCCTGGATTTGGACATTATCCAAACTCTAGTGGAATGTATTTCCTGCGCAGGTTGCAACGTTGGCATTTTGGTCTCTTGAAGCATCCTGCTGTTAAAAGGTTCAAAGTTCGTGAGCTGGACCTCAGGATCGTCATGTGGGATCAATTTCCTTCCCAAAAACTGAGCAGAAGTTCCATGTCCCGTGGATCGCCAAACCTAAGCAACAATTCTGCAATCCGTACGATCTTAATACTGAGCGGGGTTTTAATCCGGCGTAGTGAGAGAACGTTCCACATGACCTTCAGGCACTACTCTGTGGTCTCTCCGAAGGAACGGAACAAGTTGTGGTGGTTCAGGGTGTATCCCATCAGTACGTCGAGCTTGGACTTGTCACTCCAGAGCCTTAAGCCACCCGTCTAAAAACGCGATGCGCAGCTGAGGCTAATGCTGAAGGCCTGCGCCGCAGACCGTCTGGCAAAGGCCCGGCGTGTCCAAGAGTTTGGGATATGTTGGATCAAGCAGGAGGGGGCAGGCAAGTGAGGAAGTAGATAACAGGTGTTTTGTTGTTTATTGTGGGTTGAGTTCCCTAGAGGACTCACGGTCTTCCACGCGCATGCCCAGTATTCCCAAGGCTCCTAGGCACACAGGTTGATGTCAAAATCAAGGTCACCTTCGTGCTCCAGAATAGAAAAGGCCATGTTGGAATAGCGATCCTAAAATCGAACATGATTTGGAGCAATTTGGAAAGCTTTCCATATCATATCGTGGACCGCGAAGGCCGCCTGTCACTGAAGCCAGAGGGCACTGAGGAGACCGACGGTGATGCCCGAGACCGCTGGTGCCTCTTCGGCACGAAAAGTTGGAATGTTTAGCTTCCGAAATACAACCAGCCAGAACAGGCAGAGCCTTGTTACTGTCGACCAGAGTAGCAGCGCGGTCTCCTGCAGCGTTTTTATGCATCGTTCTTGCAATGGCTTCTCTCTAAGATGAGGACAACATGTCATAGCGGTCTTGCACTGGCTTGAATTGCTCCCGCCATTGATTTCTGGCCACTCACGGAAACAAGGTTTGAAATACAGAAGCTGCTGCTCAAGAAGCCAGACGGCGGGCTGCCAGACGTGGACCCGGCGACCGGTGCCTTGACGCCTGAAATGCTGATTGACGCCTATGAGATGTTCTACATCATGACCTAGGCGTTATGCATGAATGGCAGCAGTCCGATTCTCATGCGTAGCGCTTGGAAGGTACGGTATTTCATAATGAACAGTTATGCGGGGGGTTGTTCGACAGACATGAGATCCCCCGAACTGTCAGTGAGTCTGGGGCCGATCTGAAGCTGATCTGTCATTTCTAGATGCTTCATCAGCTGTCGGCGCGCTAAGTTTGGAAATTCCTTTTATTAGCGCCACAGACAGACACGGCCTTCAAAATAGCACTTGTAGAAGACTAAGAGACGTTATAATCCAGGAAGGATTGGAAACTGCTTCCTGAACCATCGTTGTTACCCTGAGGGGAGGGGGATCCAAGGCAAGCCTCCCGAAGAGTACATCAAGATCATGGAAGATGCGATGAAGCAGTCTCGGATGTATGTCGGGGGCCTGACGCCAGGCTGCAAACTGCAGCATAGACCCTCATGGAATCTGTCCAGCAGCTACCCTTGAAGGCATCACCAATGTTGACGTGAGGGAAGACATGGCCTGATATGTCTCCGCCTATCCTCACCAAGCAGCCCGCAAACTGTGAAATCCAAATTTCAGGCATTCCCCCATCTTCCCCTGTTTTCTCCTGCGCTTGCCTTGCTCAGATCCATGGCGCTGTGCTCCCTGGTGTGCGCATTGGTCCTGCGTGGCTTTTTCTGAGGGACAGAATGATCCTTCGGGTGAAATCCTTCCAAAGTTTCCGTCCTTCGCAGTTTGCAGACTAGATTGACGAGATGGCTCCTCTAAGCGAACCGCTGATGTTCAGAGAGCAGTTACAGCAGCAATTATCTCAAATACATCCGGGATGAGTTCTAATCTGTCATATGCCCTTCGCGCACGTGTGGTGCCTTCGACCTTAGCCTGTAGCCACTTGCTTGAGACCCACGCAACATCGGGTACGCGTGTAACCATTCCATCCTTTGGTGTCGCGGACCTTGACACACATATTCAGTCCGTGTCGTGGTTGGCAGACCATTCCGTATTTGAAAAGACAAGCGTGCGTGTTGGCAAACTGAGTGACGGAACAGCAAGCACAGACGCGCGTGCATTTTCGCGCGCCCAAATAACTTTGAATACACTTCCTGGCGACCTCCGCCAGCTGTGGCGGAAGTGTCTGCAGCGCTGATGAGCTGGCAATCGCAGCAGCTCATAAGTTTCAATATCTGCACAGCCAGAATAACTCTTTAGTGAAAGCCGGGAAATTCCCGTGCCCCGCATGGGCCTCGGATTGCAGTCTTTTGTTGCTCAAACTTAAACTTTCAAGGCTCTCTTTTCCACTCTTGTTTCAGGGCTTAACTTCGAATTCTGACTTAATTTTACGGACCGCCACACGCAAGAAAGGGAAAGAGAGTAAGATCCAGGTGATTTAGATTCTCTGCGCCCCGAACATGTTCTGCAATCTGAAGCCTAGGTGGTCTGAACAGGTGCTGGCAGCTGGCGCAAAAAGTCCATCCTTCATTGCTGTGCTAGCTGCTTCTTGCAAGGTTCCCCCAAACATGTTTAACAAGGTTTATTTACATTGCAGCCTGGAACGACATCTACGCCACAGTTTCTTGGCTCATAGCAGGCTCACAGACCGTAACTGCATCCATAACATAGTCCGGAACCCTGAAAAGTGATGCAACCGCTAACACTTACACGATTCCTTGCAAAGACGTGGTGATTATTGTTCTGTCTTCAAGCTGAGCTTATTTTGGAGCTCTGACTTTCGTTGCGGAACTGATGGAGTTTCATGGAAGTGCAAGGAGTTGTAACAAAGTCTGGGAGCAGCAGCCCACACGCCAGCGCTGGCCATGTCATCGCCATCCAATGCGGCCAAAGCAGAAGCCGCGACCCAGGACAACGCCACATTTGTTGGCAAGGAGGAGAAGCCGAAAATGGAGAGCCCTTCTCAGGAAAAGGCGGGCGCTCGGGTGAAGATCCAATCTGTTGGAATGGCGGCCAGTGGTAATCCACGCCACGCCCTGTCTATCTGAGCATTCCCTCCTAGCGCCATCGTGAACCTATCAACCTACCGATCGTTGGCCTTCCCTATAATTGATCCACTACATGGCCCCGGTTCTCATTCCATTCCCATTTCTTTTCCACAATACAATTCCATGCTCCATTTCCTGGGATTTTTGCATCCGGGCTTCTGGGAATTCAACGGGGTCCAACTTCGACAAACCAGCTTCGCGTCTTGCCAGGTGGAACCGGAGGCGTTTTCTCGCATCCGCGAAGTGGCCACCGAAATCTCCACAAAGGCAAGGCCTAGTTCGAGGATTCCATAACCCCAGAGAACGGAGTGGAAAAAACGAGGGGTATATAAATATATAATATCTCTCTATATATATATATTGACATATCGGATGTAACCCCAATCGTGGAGAACCAGATGGGAAAGAACTTGGAAAATGAAGTGGACACTGGGATTATATGGTGATTTACAGGGATAGTACCTAGAGGGTTTTAGGTGTACTTAGAGCACCTCGTAGGTGTGCCTTCAAGGAGCAGTGCCCGGCCTCCCTTGGCAGCCTATGGATGGGGTTTTCCACTGTAGCTTTGCTGCTCTACCTTTTGGCTGCTCTAGCTTGAGGTCTATAAGAATTATCAAGGATCCAGGCAGTAGAATCCTGACCTGCAATCCCTCCATTGAACAAGAACTTGCCACAACCATTCAGCATCAGAAAGTAGCTAGCGAAGTGCAAACTAAGAGGCATGTTGCGAACCTCAGCTGCTGTCTGAAAGGCCGCAGGGCAGGCCTATCAAATCCAAAAAGCACTGCCCTCCGCAGGCTAAAGTTTGGCTGACGTCGTTGGTAGCAGCATTAGCTACAGGAAATCTTGCAACGCGTAGGACTTCCAAATTACGTGATTTCTTAGAGCTGGGTCAAGATCGTGAGGTGGTATAGGCCTTCCTCCATCCGCAGTCGTGATCAGAGGGCTAGGCTAGCGCTCCCTTCAAGCCACCCTCATGCCCAAGCTCCGTGTCACAAGGCCTACCAGATCTCGGACTCCCTCTTTTCTCACATGCTCCATGCAGAGGCCCTCGGGTGCCGAAAACATTCTTACGACGCCTCGAGGTTTATCGTCTTATGACGACGCGCATAGAACCTGTGGTCAGTAGCCTTACAAAACGGTTGGGGAATTCGGGTTTGGGGCTTGGCAGTTGCCTAAGGCTGCATGTGTTGAAAGAGCCGGTACAAAACCCATTCCCAACACCGTGCTACAGAAAAAGCCTTGAGTACTTGGACCCTTGGGCTTGAGGTGGCTACTTGACACCCCACAGAATCGGCCCATGCATGTATCCGGGCAGTGGCTCTGAGTGCAGTCCAGAAGGCCCCGTGTCGACCTGATGACAAATAGCGCAAGACCCTGACCTCCCCAACTGTTTGGGGACCTGAATGGGAATAACGTACATTTGTATTCCGGACAAGCTTACACCTCTTTCTTCAGGCTTCGCTCTACACCGAAACCTCTAAACCTTGAACCTTTAGACCCCAACGCCCCCAAAACCTAAATCTCTGATCCATTCAATCCCCTACTTTGATTGACACTTTCCAGTCCTCCACGAGTCAAGGCCTCGGCTTCAGCAGTGGCAGCACGTCGCCGTGCGCTTGGCTTGGTGGACGTGCTGGTGGTGCGCCGGCCTAGAATTTAGGATTCGGGCAGCGTTGAGGGTTTTGGCTTTGGCTGGGAAGTCACATACTGTTCAGGTCTGAGAACCCGAACGGCAGATTGTAGTAAAAGTGGGGATGAACTGGGGTGCCTATTATCGAGAAACATGGCCACAGACAGTACTGAGGGCTTGGCACCATGGGGTTTCTTGCTCATCTTGCGTGACGACCCGCGCAAGACATCACTGTACCAAAGTTGACGAAATCGAAATGATTTGAGCGCACTGGCAACGGTGTACAAAACATCTGAATAACATGGTTCGTTGCCTTGCAGCAGGACGAATGGTACACGTAAGATAAATGAAGAGGACTTGCATGTCACAGCAACAATGACAGTTTGAGCCGTACAGGCGGCAATCAGGTGATGGAAGCGAAATGCGCAGCCGCGGCCGCAGCAGCTGTCATCATCGATCATGATGGCAGATGTCATTACATCACAGAGAAAACTGCACATGACATGCATTATTACGCGTGCTATGAATGTACCTGCACCACCCCAGCAGTAGCGGGCTGGAAGATAGTCTAGGACCTTATTCACGGCGCTCTCGAAACATCCCTTTGTAGCCTCTACTTTATGTTGCAAACAAACTTAGCAGACAGCCAAAGCTAAGGAGCGTCACATCGTTGGCCGCCTCAGAAGGCGCTGGCTTTTGGCAGCCGCTGTGGTGACTTTCTGCAGCTTGTCGGCTCTGTGCCTTGTACCTTTAGGGAGCTTCGAAAGAGGGATTCAAAGGGGCTAAAGCGGCTACGTGGGTATGGAGCCGCAGCCTCCAAAGTTCAGAGTTGAAGAATTAGGTTTTGTCAGTGCTGCTGGTACAGTATCCAGAAGCTGGGCGCAGACATGGCCGGGGAGTAGGCGCCCATGAAATCAGCCGCAGCAGTCCAGTGCCACTTGCCTCCATGTCAAGTTTCGTGCAGCTACACCCTAAACCCCCAAAGGAAGGTTTTTTCCTGGGTCCTATGCTGGCTCAGAATCATCCCGGCATGATACTAAATATAGGGACCCCTAGATCTGATTTATGTCCAGCTTCCGCCTACCCTGACAAGTGCCCGGACCCTGCATCCCAAAGCCTTACCCCTTAAGCTCTCTACAGGTGGAACAAGGGCCACGAGAAACACATTTCTGAACTCTGAATCCTTAAGCATTATCTCCATCCTTTGAAGGCTCAGAGCATTATACATGAATATATACGTATATATTTCTATGTCTTGGTGGATGCCTTTGTGTGCGTGGGCATATCTTTTCACAAGCCTCGCACCTACACATTTAGCTATGTTTTTCTGTATAGCCACCTCCACCTACATCTGAGTCTCTATCCGCCCAAACCCCCCAACCCCAAACCCTACACCCCTAAAAACAAAAAACAACCTTAAACCCCGAAAGCCTACACCCTAGCATTGCAAGGCTACTGTCGCTATGCCCTACCAGCTCTGGCCTGTTGGGGCGCAAGCCACTGGGAGAGGTGCAAGCCGGGCATTTGGGAGCTTCTTAATACAAGGGTTTAGGGTTTTAGGGCTTTAGGGCTTTTGGGGTTTGGGGTTTTTAGGGTTTAGGGTTTGGGGGTAAGGAAAACTGAGGATAACCAGGTAATGTCCTGTAGTCCCGTATGGTTTCTATGGATAACACTAATGTTTCGAAATCTACCTAGCTAGTCTCAACAGTAGTGCCAACGATCCGTTCCTTCATTTCCTATTCAGCACTTAGGGAGATAAGGGCCCCCTATACACATCGCAAATACCAGAGTCCACTTTGCATGTAGAAAGAGCTGAAGTGGTATAATTCCAAGTTCCACATCCGGAAAAGACAGCAGCCGTAGGACCGGAGCACGTGACATAGACCACTATCGTTGTTCATGACTTGACTCCTAGTCTGGGTGGGGGTACAGCATCCTGAGCCGCACTTATGTTCAACTGATGGAGTCTTTTCGGTTATGCGTGCGCTTGTGGTGTCTTTTCGGTAGGCGTGCCGGTGGGTTTATCGAAAGCTGCCTAAACCTAATGTCCGTCCCCCAGACCGAAGCTTGGGCGGCGCTGGGGGAAACACAGATGTAACCCTACGTTTTCCGGCGCTAAACTTAAGATCAGGTTCTCCCACATTCCGTGAGGGTGTGGACTTGTCTTTGGGAGCCCCAGCAGTGAGCGTCACTCAGAAGAGCTGCAAAGAGTCACATCAGCCCATCATGGAGGAGTGTGGATGCCAGTGTGTTCGAGGAGACAGTGGGCGGCCACAACTCACGCGTCAACTTTGGAGTGTTGGTTGTGGTCTCTCTTGGCTACCTGACAGGGCATTCAGGCTCAATTGTACGTACACCTATCCAGCTCATGCGATGCCACTGCAAGGTTATCTCTCCTTGCTGCACTGCTCGTCAAGGCTTATGGAGGCGCGGACTTTTCCAAAACCCACGGGTTTGTGCGCGTGCCTCAGTTTTGAGTGGAGAGCGCTGAGAGATCTCTGTCACTTGCAACGGATCGTTAGCCATCCCTTATGCTCACGCTCGCAGGCTCGTTTGCCGGTCAAGCAAACCATCTTTGAAGCGCTCATGGTCTACAACATGACGCAGATGCTCCTGAATACGCACCTTGGATTTCCCTTCAGATTTCGCATAATCTCGTTATTGGGGCAACAAGCATAGTGCCCCCCGACGATGCAAAGGCCTGCGGGACCATACCTCGCCTACCGCCTCATGCCCACCACCTCGGGTCTAAGTAGTCTAAGTCGGATAGTTCCAGCTAAAACCCTGTTTGGGGAATTTCACAGTGCTTCTGCAAAGCACTTTTTGGTTTCACTCCATGAGCCTTTGAGAGGTATGTATGTGGGAACCTACTGCGCGAAGCCTGGCAGCCTATCAGCAGTGAGTTCAAGTCTCGTCGCAGAAGTGGGGGTATCTTTGTCTTTGTGGTTGCAAGCTCTGTCGGAGCTTCTCAAGTCGTAGTGTCTTTTTCAGAGGCAGTAGAATGGGTAGCTGGGGTTACGTGCAGACCTTACGTCTTGAGAAAAACTAATATCTAACGTGCTCGCGACCTGAGGCTTGGGTTCCAGCTTCCTTGGGGCAACGAGTTTGTGTACACGAAGGCTCTCGCAGGGCCTTTCACTTACTAGGTTTGGGTTTAGTTCTCTAGATCCCAGCTGCAGCATTCAACGCTACAATGGCCCTTGATGCCCTTCACGTCAGGAGAGCCACCGTCTGGGATATTTTATTTGGTTCCACTACCACTGCTGCCAGCTGGAGCTTCTGGATACGCTCCTCGTTCAAACCAGTACAGGTTCTTGTTGCGACATAATTGATGGCAGAGCTCTTTGATGCTGTAGGGTGCACGCCCCCTGTGAAAAAGCATCAAAGGGTATTCATCGTGATTCGAAAGTCGCTTGGCTACATCAAGCTTGTAATGTGAAGAGGTTGCGGGGAAACTCCTCCTACCCTCCTGCTTCCGCCTCATGCAAATTACAAATTGGCAAGCGCCTCAATCATTGGAATTGCCTGAGGAAAGTTCAGAGGATCACGTTCCTCCACGTAGCGTGTGTGGCTTAGTCGCTGTGAACTTTTGGCCAGTCAGTCGGTTTGGACATGGGTATGCAGACTCCAAACCCTGTCAGCAGGAAAAGCAGGCCACGCTCTACTGGCAGTACATGAACTCATCATATGGTATTTCATTGTAATTAAGCAGCCTAGAAAGGGACAAATATTTTGAGAACCAGACCAAAGCATCCCCAGACATCTAACTCCACCCATAGGCTTCGCTTGCTCAACATGTGGGCGTGGTTCTTCGCATGCCGCTATGCGTGTGGGGGCGACGCTGGCCGCGAATTTCAGAATTCCCAAGGATCGTGAAAGGTATCCAGCTTTCCTCATCAGAGGTGTTGATATACTTGCATCTTTGCGTGATGCTGCTGAGATCTTATGGGTGCACAATTGCGTGAGCGGTCTGAGGACACCTACTTCCCTGCCGCCATCAATGCAGCCACAAGAGCGGCCGCCAGGTTGCAGCTGTCTTGGTAAAGCAGTAGCAAGGATGTCATATCAGCAACCATGATAATCACGTAGCACTATCAATTCCAATAAGGCCAAAAACCTGGCAGTACTCTAGGTTGTTGAGGGTTCAAGAACTGGCTCGCAAGGGTGGCGCTTCTCAAACAACAGGCCCTCAGCCCCTCAACACCTGGCAGCGAGAAACTGAGGTAGTCTATGCTTTCTACACCCTTTCCATGATATCTGAGCGTGGAGTGCCCTTGGTGCGGAAAGCGCGTGTAACGGAACTTCAGATGTTCCAGCAGCTCGGCCTCTGGTACAGCATCAATATGAGCCATAGCTAAAACTCCTTAAAGGGGGTTATATAAGGGTAGGGGATTACTATAGGGGTTGTTAAGGAGGATACTAGGAGTTTAGACTATGGCTCATATACTGTTGTGGGATTGCTGCGGGCGGTATGGTTGTTCCTTTCATCTCAATCCTTTTCCTTTTCCATCTGAGATTGCATCACAGTTTGCAATTAAAACTCATGAAGCTCAGGTTCGCGATATGCGCTCTCCATGCGTCGTCTGCTGCCTGAATTACTGCCTGCTGCAATGCAAGCCAGTGACAACATTCGCCATGCAGGCATGCATCAGCGGGCTTTTGGTTTGCGATCCATCTCCACTTGAAATCTTGAGGTTCTGCCTCTACAACTTCTGGAACATGCAGATCTCACGAGCCGTCCTCGTTCTGTACCTTCTGGTTATGCTGACAGGGCTACTGTTGTACACTGACTTTCAGAACCACTCAGAAGGCATCCTGGCTGACAGGTTGAACTGGACCACCCAATTTTAAGGCTTCAGTTCTATCCTGAATCTATAGCTCTTCATGTCTCAGGCCCGCAGCTCTCTTTGCCAGCGCATGAACCTCTTGAACACTCGACCGGTGAGCTGAAACTGTAGCTGGAAGTGACCTCTTTTGTAAAAACGACTGCCCGAGACCGAACATGCCAGAAGCGCAGGTTGAGGCATGTTTCTCATATCTTGGGAGAGGTACCAGCATATGGGTGGAGCGACTGAACTAGGTGCAAGAGCTAGATGTTTCAGCCGAAGATATAGCTGCGGGTAGTGTGTTCAGCCAAGCCACATTAAACCCTGAATGCTTCTCTCCCCAAGGTGCAACCTAATGAGCAATGCTCTGGTGGATTGTTCCACGGAAAGGGTAGGGCAGAACCTAAAATTGAAACTGGGTTCAAAACAAGGAGCCATGAGTTTGAGAATCTTTGAGCCCTGCAAATCCTTGAATGTTGCCAAAATCCCGGTACAACTTCTCTTTCGTCAACTACCTGAAAAAGGAAATTCCCAGGTAAGTCCGTGTCGAAACAGGAGTCCGAGAGCAAGGCCGGGTCATCCGGGCTCTGTTTTAATTCAAAACTGTAAAGGCCATAGTAGCAGAAACATGTGGTAGAAGGGGGGGGTGATAGGAGCTGGTATAGGGCCTCCTATTAGTATTAGTAGTAGTAGTAGTAGTAGTAGTGGTGGCAGTAGTGGCAGTACTGGCAGTTGTAGCAGTAGTAGAAGTAGCAGTAGCAGCAGCAGTAGTAGTAGGAGGAGCTGGAGGTGTGGGAGTGGGAAAGCGAGAAGTATGCGAAGGAGTAGTAGCACCGTAACTGCGAATTCCCTATTGTAAAGCTGAATGTTGCTTAGTACTGATACTTGAAGTGCATTTGCATGTATAGCAGCCGTCTGCGTAGTGCTAGTCGCTAAAATGCTTTCGGAGCTTTCCAAACCCAGCTCTCTCTCACACTCTACACTCCAAAACCTTATGACGCCAGCGTCATTTGTTCGACACTGGGATCCTGGTCGCTGCCGTCAAACGTCCCATGAAGTGATTTGAAGAACTACCGCTTGGCAACGAAGGTCAGCATCGCTTTCGACTCCAGCGGCTGGCTGTGCCCTGGCTGTGGTTGAGGCTCCAAGCATCCAAAGCTCATCAGCTACGCTCACTCTCTCAGATAATTCTAAACGCCGACGCGTGTTTGCCTCTAGCTCGCAGGGTGCCACTTGGGGCTGATGAGGGGCTTCAGCAGGGATGGGCCAGGGGGAACTCTGGGGTGAGGGGAAAACAAGCAGATGCTGGTCTTCTGGTTCCAGATGCTGCTGACCGGATTACAGCGCCTCTTGGGCCGCGAAGTGGCGTTGGATAGCACTGCTCAAGCCTCAAGATTGATTCAGCTTTGGACATGTCAGGTTCTCCTACCACTTTGGGGTAGCATCTTGGCTACGTGTCTCGGCTAAAACATGGTTATGTGTGATAGAACCAGCATTTGCGACTTTCATCAGAGCAAGCAAAACGCTTAAACAGACGCCACAACTTTTTGAGCCATTTGGTTTGCGGCAAGTGGATGTGCACAACAGATCTGGGGATGGGCATGAGACTTTGTTCCAAGTGCTCCGAGACCCTGGACATCCCCTCGTCATCCTCCACATGTCCCTGCAGGATTCATCTGTACAGTTTGAGGACATCCTGGGTGATCAAGTTGCTTAGCTAAGGTGAGCACCTGCAACCGGAAGGCCTGACACCTGAGGCAGGGCCCATGCCCTGAGTGTCGCATGCCTCCTTTAGGAATGTCACTTGGTAGCCTATCCTTCTCTCCCTTCATCTAAAGGGCGAAGCCAATTTTTTTCCAGGGAGCCAATGTCTTTTGAGACGCGAATGCTCTCGCGTTTGGCAAACCAGAAGCTCCCAAGCACAGGCATTCAACGAGCCGGGAGCGCTTGACAACGTAGTGTCACAAAACAGGTTGTTACGCAGTGACTTCTTGCAAGGGTCTGTTGCCACTTGATGCTTTAGAAAGCACGAAATCCACGACTGTGCACCACGCACAAAGGAGGCAGACTCGGAGAAGTTCCCGAGCCAGCTCGTTTTCAGCGGAGCATCAGGCCCCGGGCATGTGCTCTGCCCGTTGAGGCGAAGGCTAGGCTTTAATGCGGCTTCTGTAAAGACCTGACTTCCTGTACTGCAAGAAAATTCTAGAGGCTTGACTTAGACTCTTGTCGGGGTTCGGAGTTTTGGATCAAAGTCCGGTGGCGCTGATTCTCTGAAGCCTGCAGATGATTCAGAATCACGATTGCTGAGCCGGTCTCCTTTACCTAAGTATCATATTCCCAGGCAATGATTTCTGTCTGGAGCCACGGCCCCACGTACTTACCGGGTTCTGCTTCACCGACCCCCTTGCATTTTTAAAGCCCTACCCGCTTCCCCAGCTACCCTTCACGAATGCCCTTCCCCGAACTCAGCCCCGGCAAGAACAAGCCTTGAAGGGGTTGATTTTGAGGTGATTCCCCGATCCGGGCACCCCAAGCCAGGAACCTAAGTCCTCAACTTAACCAAAGGAACCCACAATTTGCCAAATCTGCCAAATTCATCTAATTGCTAGGTCTAATCGTATTCGGAAGACTTAGACCGCGTACAATGAACCTATGTATTCTGATTATGATATTACATTAGATTAGCGAGCCTGAGCTGCATCCAATAAATCTACTTGCTTACTGTCCTGAATTTGCTCAGGGGGCCCAGTAGGCTAGCCGTTTGAATATTTAGGTGCCCGTGGTCATTGTTATTACGGGGCCCGGTCTTCTCAGTCGTGTGTGTGTGTGTGTGTGTGTGTGTAGACGTTCTTCCAATTATTTCATTGGTGGGCCCTGTCTGAATCCCATAAATCTAGTCATTAGTTGACTTGGAAAAGTTTGAAGCATTGGAGGGACGCAGGGGTGTTTATCATGATCAGAAAATCAGAGAACATGCAAAGGCGTAGGGCTGGGAGGATGGCCGTTAGTCAGCCCATATGACCCATATGTATACATACACAGCCTTGTACCACCCCACAATATATATAATATATTGTACATATATATATATATATCCGGACGTAACCTACATACTTGTGCAAGTACACATACATATCCACACATACAACGCAGAGATAAATGGTCATAGACATAAATGGTTATACCTGTAGCTGTATACCTATATGCATATGTGTGTATGTACACGAGTA